CTCCTCCTCCTCCTCCTTCCTCCTCCTCCTCCTCCTCCTTCTTCTTGTTTTGTTCATTAGTTCATCCGCACAACTGCCAGACTTAAGAGTGGGTATTCAACAAATGCTGTAGAATGTATGATGTGATGTAGGAAATATTCTGACTTCATTTATTTGGTTACTTAATTTCTGAGAAGAGCTTTTAGTTGTTTAGTTGTTGTTTCACAAGAAATCCCTTTCTTATTTTGTAAAGTTATTCAGCAACTTAATATTGGCAACTTCTATCTTGACATTTTTCATTTCTGCCATTCAACAAAGTTTCTGAATTTACAGCCAGAAACCCAATTCTTGAGACTCTCAATTGCTTTGGAATACTTAAATACAGGTTTTATATCAATTACAACTTCAATAGCTACAGAGAACACATTTCCCCAATAATATGGTTTGATCTTTGGAACAATACAAAGAAAAACACTGAGTGGAAAATATGTGAGGTTCAACCACATAGACTCAGATGAACTGGACCCCACACAACTGGTGTATATTGGTGTGAAACAATTTACTTCTGCAGATAATAAACAAAATCATAAAAAATAAACTATATTAACATAGAAAAATAGTTAAAAGTACTGTATCTTAATGACAACCTCTACTAAAGGATAGTTTATTTGTTTGTTCTTGGAATGTTCTCAGTGAGATTTGTAGACTGGTCTGCCCTTGCTATCACAACCCCATCTCCCCAGGTCTCCCACATATGTGCCTGTCTACTTGAAATGTCAGGATTGCCCTATAAGAACAAGCCTTTTCAAAGGCAGAGACACTCTATATTCCCAACACTCTGCCCCCTTCACTGTCCACTCCTAATGGATATGAACCACCTCTCCTAAGACTAATACTTCTCATTTTACTTTATTCATTTGCATTCTCCTTGTTCATGTCAAATGATCCTGAAACCTGCCAACATTTTACATGAGGGTCATAGCCCTGAGCAGCAGGTGCTATGACATTCTCTAATGGTGAAGTCATTTCGTGACTTGTGGATCTTTGTGTATGTGTTCTAGCTTTCTTGTCCTTGGTTCCCTCATGGATAATGGGAACTACAGCAGCCTCCTCTCACAGGTGGTGTGTGAATTATGAATGAAATAGGGCAACTAATTATTGACACAGTGCATAATCAGTAAAGATTTATGACATTCACTTTGTTGATTGTTCACAGGGCCTTTGAAATCAAAATTTGACACATGTTCAAAAGTAGATGGGACAAAAAGTAATTTCACTGTTACTAGACAATGATCTTGTAATTACTAATATCAAAACCACCACAAATAAGCATTTTTATATACATTTGCAAATGGATGTTACATTTAGCAACAAGAAAATCAGTTGTCTATCTTATCATTAGTGACACTGTACTCATATGAATGTGAGCAGTTGTAACAGTACTCCATAAGAAATGTGGACACAGTGGTAACGGACAACTCAGAGCAGCCAAGGTGATCTTATCACACTGAGTTCTATCCCTGGAATATGGAAATCACTTCCTATATTACCTCCATCCATATAAATATACATGTGATCAGTTGCTATGAAGATAAATAAAGCCCACCTTAAGGAGGTAACTAACTTACCAAAGTGGTGATGTCTAGATTCTGACCCCCTAATGCTAGGGTGATCATCATTATACTCTGATGGTCTCAACATAGATAAATGATTCAGGGGTCCGAGAACATTTTTATTTATTTATTTTCATGGTAGAGGGATCCGACATAAGGCGTTTTGCATGATAGTCAAACACTCAACCACTGAGCAATGTCTCCATTCCCTAAATTAAGTTACATTCTTAGTCCCCAATCCCAGTTTTACTTTATAAAACAGTCTGTTTGGAACAGAGAAAATTTGGCAAACCTGTTACTATCAAATCCTCAAAAATTACATTAAAAGCCATATTTCATGTGCAGGTTCAGTTAGGAAAGGTTGAGTGTCCCCTGTCTCCTTTGATCAACTTGTGTTATTTCCCTCTGAGCACATTTGGGAGGCGAAGAGGGGGTCAGAGACACTACTTACCGTTGCTCCTTATGTTTAATTTCAGGCTGACATACTTTTCTCCAGGCTCAACAATTTCCTGCCCTGAGCCATGATTATAGATAGCAGCCATCTGTCAGCTGGCAAACCTATATTTATAGTGCCACTGGTGTAGAGGGCCATCCACTTTATTTTGACTCTGCCTTGTGAAGGCAGAAAACTTCTAGTGTTAGTTCAAATAGTATTCACGGAAGAATTACTTGATGTCTGTTACACATGTATATGCTATAGTTTTTCTTTAGTGTATTTATGGCATTAAATATTAGACACGTTTATTTTTAATAATAGTGTTAAAATTGCAACAATGAGAGTCACAAGACTATGTTGGAAATGAACTTCACAACTTTGGAGGGGAGTGGGGGGTGGGGGAGGGAAGAGATAGATAGTAGGAGAAAAACAAAGGAGGGGGATAACAATGCTCGACAAGAAATGTACTTATTACCTTAGTCATGTAACTGTAACCCCTCTGTACAGCAGCTTTATAAAAAAATAAAAACCTAATGTTTTGTTCTATGAGGTTAGAGATATATATGTATATATATACATACTTAATCTGAGTGTATGCTTTATAACAGTTCAGATCACTGAATCACTGACTATATTAAAATAATTAGATCACAATATATTTCTACTTATGTAAAAAGATGAATGAACTTGGTAGGCTGGGACATCTTAGCCATATACATAAACAAATAAAAGAAATAGTTGTAAATAGTACTATGTAAAAATTTATTTTTGTATAATATTTAGATCATTCTATAGAGAAATATGGACTGAGAAAAATATATATATTTATATATGACTTAATGTTATAGTTATCCTGAATCAAAATTTAACCTATTCTCATAAATCCTTTCTATTTATAAAATCCTTTCCTGGAGAATAGTAGACATTTAAAGTTAATGTGCATTTAAAGAATATGCTAATAATTACATATATCTCAAGGCTGTATATATAGATGACAATATAACTAATCTACCTTCATATTACTGTAGGGAGTAACAGTAAGAAAATAATAAGGAAGATAGTAATAGTAAGACAGTAGTAAAGAGTTTGATCTAACAATGTCAGAGTTTTGTTTATACTATCAATTATGCATATAATCTCACAATAATTGTGGAAACACAGATAAGGTTGCCAATAACAAATCAGAAAAAATGAAAAAATAGATGATTTGAAACAGTGTAATTAGATGCATCTGACACAGTTAATACTTTTTCTTCATCATCTTCCAAATTTGGTGCTCTTCTGTTTAGTTTTTGTTAGCTATATACTGTGAAGATACTTCCTCTTTTCTAACTTAAGGAAAAATACATACAGCATATTTGCTCAGTTCTGCTTACTGGAAAATGTTTGATATTTTTCATGCAGAAGTGAGGACCCTACTTAGGACCAATCATCCCTGACAACCTTTGTCCCCTTCCCTGTCAGTACTGTAACATTGGAGACCTGTTCTCTGATGCTCTTTGTGCTTGTTACCTCTGTCTGTTTCCTGTCTGTCTCCTTGTCTGAAACCTTTTCCTTCTCTATGATGAATGCTGGGGAGTTATTATTCTCCCAAAGGGCAACTTATTGCTTTCTCTTGTTTGTTTCTGCATCAAGCTCTTCTACACTGAAAGCTTTTTAGTAAATATTTCCAATTTGAAATCGTTATTAAAATAGGAAGAAGAAAGAGAACAAACCCGTTAATTTGCTGAGGAATTCTCTCCATATGTAACTTAATTTTCTAAAATTTACCTCTAGTTGGGGCTGGGAAGGTTGCTCAGTGGTAGAGCGCTTGCCTTGCATGCATGAGGCCCTGGGTTCGATTCCTCAGCACCACATAAGCAGAAAAACAAAACTGGAAGTGGTGCTGTGACTCAAGTGGTAGAGCGCTAGCCTTGAGCTGAAGAGCTGAGGGACAGCGCCCAGGCCCACAGTTCAGGCCCCACCACCAGACACCCCCCCAAAAAAATTTACCTCTAGTTGTACAGAGGGTTTCAATTTGACATGTCAATTTATGAGCACAATGCATCTTGACCAATGTCAGTTCTCCCATTGTTCTCCTCCCCCTCTCCCAGCCCCTTCATTTTCACATATGCACACTGAATATTAATGAGTACATTCACCCATCTTTCCTCTCTCCACATACTTAACTTTGCATGGCTATTTTATGCTGACCTCACCGGCAGTGTGCTAGCATAAACACTTGTGATATTATGCTTTGCTGTTTCTACTTTGCAACTTCATCAGGTTTTTTTTCTTTCTGTTTGTTTTGGGTTGTGCTTCTTCTCACTGGTCAGGCTGGAGGCGTGGCATCTGGATTCAACCATGTTCTCACCAATGACCTTTCAGCTAAGAGGCTCCTACATGTGAAGGGACGGAGAGTGGTCAGGGCCACGGAAGTTCCTCTCAGCTGGGACAGTTTTAACAAGGGCGACTGCTTCATCATAGACCTTGGCACCGTAAGTTCTGTAGACACACACAGCCATGTTTTCATATCGGGTCAAATGCACATTGATATGTCATTGGTGATAATCACAATTTCTCCATGCTTTGAAAGAGGGTTTGGCAAGTATTTAAATGACACATTAAAGCGAGACTTCAAAGTTTCCATGTTCTCTGGTAAGTTGAATAGAATAGTGATTTAAGTCTTCCTACCATAGAACAGAAATTGAATAATTCTTAGCATATTTCCCCTTCACTCTGCACAGAACTTCCGCTAGTTGTTTTGGTTTGTTTTTGTCTATAATTGTGTGTGAGAAAATGTGGCTTCCATGGATTCCATCAATAATCAAAGGTTTTAGAACTTAAAATGGGCATAGGATGAATCTAAACTTTTGGCTGAAAATTTTTGGAGGAATATTTTTAACATATACACAAAAGGCATGTGTGTGTGTGTTTGTGTGTATGTATGTGTACCCACTATTTCATAGTTTTCATTTTTTTGTTTTTTGGTCAGGTCGTGGGGCCTGAACTCTGGGCCTGGGCGCTGTCCCTCAGCTCTTCAGCTCAAGGCTAGCGCTCTACCACTTGAGCCACAATGCCACTTCCGGCTTTTTTTTTCTTTTTGCTTATGTGGTGCTGGGGAATCGAACCCAGGGCCTCAGGCATGCAAGGCAAGCGCTCTACCACTGAGCGCTTCCAGCCCTCATAGTTTTCAATTAACTTAAGGTTATTAGGGAAAAAAAACCAAGTATAAATATCAAGTATCATCTTAATGGCATGGGCAATGGTGTACTGTATTGACTTCAATTTTCTTGCAGGAAGACTGACCCCTCTGATATCAGCTACAATTCTCAACTATTATCATCATGACAAAGAAGTATTGTAGGCCTTGTATTAGACCCCCAGTAGGAAATTTTAAATATTGTCTTCAACACATGTAGAAATGAAGGGAATTTCCTGCTACTGAAAAATCATGTGGCAAGGAAAGAAAGGCAGGCTTGTTTGGCTTCCACTTACTCTCCCATGATCCTCATTCATATCATATCTTTGCATCAACACTCTACTAGTCATTTCTTACATTTGTGAGCCAAGAAGTATACAGAGACTTGACCTGACCTGCCTTGTTTCAGTTAGCATGAGATATAGGAGGGCTTGATCTTGCTCAACATTGCATAGAGAATAAGTAGTGAAATAGGAAATATACTCTAGGCATATCTGTTTCTGATTCTCCTCTAAGCTATTTTTTTGTTTTAATTTTTAAATTAAATTTTTATTATATTTCTTTGGGCAGTATTTTGGGATAAAGCTGTAGAAAGAGCCCAAGGGATCTATTCTATAGACAAAGGAAGGACAGAGTACAGATTCTGAAAATGGAGATTTACAGTCAGTTCTATTAATTAATATTAACCAATATTAATTTTTTTAACTGCATAACTCCAAGTTATAAGATCCATCAGTTTCTCTAAGTTAGAGTATATGTGTGTTGTGTTACCACTAATATATAGTCTAACTTTTGGATCACATCAAGTTGTATGTGCAATTGAGATCACAATAACATGAATGCTCAAGACAATACACATCAGCTCATAGAATGTTTTTGTCTTGAATCTTACAGTAAATTTCACGAGAAAGTCCCTTTCCACTTTAAAAACTTTTCTAACCGGATTTGAACCCTGATTTTCAGACTTAGGCACAAAACAGCTACTATCCCACCCTTTCTTTACCTCACATCAAAAATAGTTATTTAATGCCAATTAATACCCTGCAGTATAGCCACGTGGTTCCAAAACACCATTGAAGCTCTCTCACAGAGCCCGTGTACAATATTGTTTATAACAACTTTTATTTTTTTACCACTTCCATTTTAAAACCCTTTCTAATTTATAGTGTCTTTACATATAAAATGACTTTCTTTTTTCAATATAAAACAAAGTTGTTATCTATAAAGGTAGGTATCTGATTGGTAGATCTGCAGAGCCACTTTCCAATGATGACTTTCCAATGATAAGATAACTCATCATTGTCATTACTTTCAAGGCTTTCTTTTTTGGAAATCTTTTTCTGTATAATGTAATTGCAATGCAAATGCAGTAATCTGTATAGTTACTATGAATAACTTCCAATCCTGCTTCCTGATTATGAACTCTTTGACAGGTGGTAGATCATTAACCTCTGTATTCTTGGCTTCCTCATTCTTTGACATCTTGATCCTGGTTTCTGATGCCACCTCTAGCCTAAGCTCACTGTGATTGGCACTCATTACACCCATGATCACATCTGGGAAATGACAGTTGTCATTCCTGTTTGAAAATGGAACAAAAGTCTCTGCAGGTGTGTGCAGGTGACTCATGTGGACAGCTGTGGAATGAACGGCTTGCTGTGGGAGGATCTGGGTTGTTCCATTCCTAGGTCACCATCTTTTCATTGCCTAAAGCTGAACTGGTCTGTATGAGATAGAATGAAGTAGCAGATGTCTTGTGTTACCTTTTCAGAAACCAGCTGAATTCAGAATTCATGAGGCTGAATTTGGATGAGATTCTACTGAAAGTAGTAGTTTTAATTATCTTTAATAAGGCAAGTTTTCTCTTGCTCACAGACTTGGAATGAGTTTGTTGCAAAGGCCCTTGTGTTTAGGAATCTCTTATAGTATGGATGTTTCCTACATCTATAAAGGGATACTGTGGTGATTGTGTTAGTATTGTAGTAATTGTGTGTGTGTGTGTGTGTTTATGTGTGTTGTTGGTCCTGGGGCTTGAACTCAGGGCCTGGGCACTGTCCCTGAGCTTTTATACTCAAGACTAGCACTCTACCACTTGAGCCATAGTTCCACTTCTGGCTTTTGATAGTCCATGGAGATAAGAAACTAACGGACTTTCCTGCCTGGGCTGGCTTTGAACCATGATCCTTATATCTCAGCCTCCTGAGTAGCTAGGATTACAACTGTGAGCTACTGGCTGTGTTAGTAACTTTTAACTAGTTGATATGTTGCCAAAAGTTTCCAAATGATGATAAGAACTTGTCATTATCTTGATAACTTTATTTTTTGGGTGTGTAGCCCAATAAAAATTGGAACAAGATCTTCTGAACTACAATGTTGGAGTAGGGTTTGGGGGTGGGGGTGAGTGCATGTAGTCCTGGGGCTTGAACTCAGGGCCTGGTGCTGTCACTGAGCTTTTTTTTTGCTCAAGACTAGTGCTCTACCACTTGAGCCACAGCTCTACTTCTGGGTTTTTGCAGGTTAATTTAAAAGTCTCATGGACTTCCTGCATGGGCTGGCTTTGAACTGTGATCCTTAGATCTCAACCTCCTGAGTAGCTAAGATTACAAGTGTAAGCCACCAGTGCCTGGAAAACTCCAGTATTTTACTGGCAGACATAGGTACTTTTAAAAAGACCATCTTCTGCATTAGTGGGCATACAATTAAGCCAATGAAATTAGTTTATTTACCCAGGTATGAAAAATATAGGTTAAATACCAAAAGTTGTTACTCAAATAAAGGTTCTGCATGTAACCTAAGGTTATGGATAGACTCTAAATCCCTTACTTTTGTAATGTTCAAGGAAAGTCAGCTGTCATGATAAGCAAGAGGGTGTTCATATTCCCTAGAAACATTTGCTCTTTAACATGATTTTAGAATATTGCAGATAGTTCCTATGTTTGACAATGTAGTTTTCTCTACCTAAGGCAAGAAATCATACTTTAATCATTATGAAAAATAAAGAAAATCACAGATGTTTTACAGAATGGCCTACATATATTACTTTAGTATATCATTAGAAAATAATATGGAACATGGCTTGGCTCTATGTAATTCACTGAACTTTTCAAAAAGTAATTTGGAAAAAATGTATTTTAATGTTAGGGAATATATGAGTCATTATTTTCCTGCTACCCTTTAAAGAGATGAAGAACTTGGAGAAATTAAAAAACAATGAATAAAATCACATCTTGAAATGCTACAGTCAAGCACCAGTTACTACAGAATGTAAATGGTAATGTAGCAGTCTGTATTCTTAAGGTTTGGCACCTGAGTTTAGCTTTTAGAAATATGTCAATCATGAGTAGAGAATTAGGCCTCCCAGGAGTAGAGATTCCTGTGGTCAGTTAACTAATCCTGATATGCTACACATTCTGTTTCCTGGTTGACTTGTTGGGTCAGTTATTCAGCGTTGCCCACCCTGCCTTCCTGGCTATCACCCCTTCCCCGTTGTTCAATTGCGCTGAAAAAGCAGCCTTCACTTCCTAATTTGCCAGCTGCCAGACCAGCCTGCGGTGCCTACCTTTCGCTGCCACCATTCCTTCGTAACTATTTCTGCTGCTGTGATCAGCGACTACGGCTGCACCCAACCGACACCTTCATTACTGTCCACTCAGTGCTGCAGTGGACATTGGATTGTTTCTGTTGTCAGCTTCCCTCCTTTAGTTTTTCTTCCCCTTTTCTTCCTTTTCAAACCAGTTTTTCTCATTCTTCCTTGGTCAGTTTATTCCTTTGTATGTGTGTGTGTGTGTGTGTGTGTGTGTGTGTGTGTGTGAGAGAGAGAGAGAGAGAGAGAGAGAGAGAGAGAGAGAATGACAGGATTCTATCCTTTTAATCATTTGCTCCTCCAGAGCAAATCTCAATTTCACAGTTCAAGTCAGACCTCTGGTCTGAGCTCAAGGTCAATATTTCAGACTGTCTCCAAGATATTTCATTACATAGACTCTGAGACCTTCAAGCTCATTTTTTAATGAGCTCCTTAGCTTAACTCTCTCATTTCAAAACCATTTTCCCCCATATTGCCTTTATCTTATTAATAGAATTATTGCTCACTTGGGCCCTCGAACACCACCCAATCCAGGAGCTACCCCGGTACTCTCTCCCCCATCTCCACTTTCACTTAACCACTACCTTAGTCCATGTTTTTGTTTCCTAAGTAACTTGCATCCTTCCTGGATCTTTCCTCTCCATTGATACCATCTTATTACCTGTGAATGACACATTGCTTCTGGGTGTCCTTGGTTTTGTGGGATGGCTTCT